TTAGTCTTAAAAGTTTTTGAAAATTTTAAATTATATAAATGATTTTGTTGAATTTTTAAAATTATTTAAATTTAATTTTAATTAAATATTAATTAATATTTAAATATTTAATTAATTAAAAAAATGATTTAAAATATAGAAATATATCTAAATTAAACTAATTTTAATTTATTTTTAAAATAAATGTTTAATTATTTAACATATTTTAATATATAAACTTTTAAAATTTGAAAAAATATTTAATTTAATATCAATTAAATAATTAAAATTAAAAGTTTAAAATTTTTTAAAAATATTTTTAATATGTTAAAATAACTTTAAATTTAAATTAAAAGATTTAATTTTTGGATATTTTAATATAAAATATTAATTTTTAATTAATTTTTTGAATTGTCTGTATTTAAAAATAAATTTTATAAATAAATTTGAAATAAATAATAAAAGTCGTCAGTGGCTGTAGTGGAGGCCGCGTGGCGCACGGTGTTTTGCTGGATAAAACCATGGCTAATCATTTGCGGCGACAGAATTAAATGGTAACGAATGCGCCGCCACTAATCATTAACATTTAATGATCCGCGGATGCGTCTTCTACTAAACCACGTCAGCGCGAGATTTTGACCCTTGTATCCTCCGCGTTTTTGAATTAGCGGTCCAAATATAGCCGGACAGTAATCCGATCTGGAGGAAGCTTGCATACGGTCGGATTATCGCTCGGAAATGCTCGATCGGGGAGATCAACGACCTAGATCTCATATAGTTAAGCAGACTAGGTTAATCGAAGCCCTTAACTAAAAAAACGTCTCGTTCTTTGAAAATACTCAACTATTTCATATGAAATTTTAAACATGAGTATCATGCACGAATAGAAATTATGGGGGATGCTTTATTTGGCTTAAAACAAGCTTAATAAAAACTATTTAAACTAGTGTAATCTAGACTAGGGTTAGAGTTTATACCTCATTCAATAGACGGATTAATCCTACCTCATTCAATAGGCAGATTAATCCGTTTAAAGTCTTGTTGCACTTGTAGACTGGCCATGCTTAATCCATTTTTAGAAGCCTTGACTTGAGAAGCTTCCTATCGCACGCTACAAGCCTTAGACGGAAAATGGCTTTGGCTCGCCGGAATCTGATCGTCGGCGAGGTTTGACCGGGTGGTTTGGACTTGGATTAAGTGTAGAGAGATCTGGAGAGCTTGAACGAACTGGGAGTTCGACTAGAGGGAGCTCGAATGGAGAGAGAAGACTAGGTGGAGAATGAGGACTCATTTCCTTCATTTGCCCTATTCAAACGTCCTTAGATAGGATAGCTCTCTATTACCATCATGAAGTTGATAAGTGGTCTTCTTTGTGGATCTGTCCACTCATCACAAACCAAAGTAACTCCGTTTTCCTTCTAAACTCCTCTAGTAGGCTCAAACAACTTCTCAATATTATCCCTCTCTCTTTGCAACAACTTCGTTCTAATGACATTATATCCTGGTGGCACGTATCCTCAAAGATTATTATTGCATGCGTAGGTAAATGCATTCTTGTAATGTGGATACTTTTCTAGGTTAAAATGAAATCCAGCTGAGTAAAACATTCTAGCTATTTTCTTAATCTAGTTGTTCTCTCATTTGTAAATTAAATGCTTTCTCCAAAACACTATCTACAACATGTTTTCTTCTTTTTGGTTCAAATCCCTCCATCCGAAAAAGCCCTTTGTTTACAGTATTATCATCACTTCTAATTGAAGAAGATGATGAAAGATATGAAGCATAAGTGCTTGGAAGTGGAATATGTTTTGGAAGCTTTTTTTTACTCTTTTGCTCAGCTTCACTGATTTTCCTTTGTAATTCAACCATTTGTGATGAGCTTATCTTCGGGCATATTTTAATTCCATGACCACTAATTTTCAACAAATAAGCTTTCACTCTATAATATGATCCTTTGTATGTGACATTACAAAAATTACATTTGAATGCAATATTGCCTCCCCTTCTGAAGTTTTACCTATTTTTGTCACATAACCCCACAGAGGTTTGTTATCTTCAATATTGGTCTCTGATGGACTATCATCAGATCCAATTCCTACACCACTAGAGCTCATAATCGTACAAAAGATCAACACAAATTAAACTACCTGAATTTGAAACATGAAAAATTTTATATAAAAGTGTAGATATATTGCGACTGTGCTGGGGGTCCAAGGGGGCGCTGCTCCCTGGCGGGGTTCGACTTGCCCTATCAGGTTGCGGGGTCAAGGGGCAGCGCCCCTGCAGGGGTTTCTGGGAACAGCGCCCGCTAAACAAATTTTTATTGTAAGTGTTATTTTAAAGCTTTCTCTTCCTTCTCGGTACTGCTTGGTACCATTCGATACCCCTCTGTACCGAGCAGTACCGAGTTCCAGTACGAGCGGTACTGAGTTCCAATATCGCTCGGTACCAAGCGGTACCGAGTATCTAGCGGTACAGAGCGAGCGGTACCGATCAGTACGGAGCGGTACCGATCAGTACTGAGCAGTACCGAGCGGTACCGAATACCGAGTCACTCCGTCGAAGAAGAACGAAGAACTAAGAAAATGAACCTTCACTGCTCACGTCGCCTTCACTGTTCGCGTCGTCGAGTTGCTCCGTCGACAAAGAATGATTATATCGGCTTTAATGCTTGCGCCGTCAAGCCTCTTCGTCGACGAAGGATGATTCTGTCCGCTTCTATGCTCACGTCGTCGAGCCACTCCTTCGACTATAACGAAAAAGACGAACACTTGTGCAAAAACGAAAAACCTAGCTCGCCGAAATATTTAAGCCGCAAATGTGGATAGCCGAAATCAATAAGGTAAATTGCGGCTTTGTTTTTTTTAATAAGACGCGTATCTGATTCGCGTGTCTTCTCAAATTTAAATTATATTTTAATTTGACACAGCAAAGCCGTCCCCGTCCGACACGTATCCGTGTCGTATCGGAGGCGTATCTGTATCCGACACATGTCCGATACAGCATGCCTTATAAATAGGAGTATCCGTACAAGGTGGCACCAAAGGTTTATTGAACTGGTACCTAAGGGCTTAAGATTAAATACTTGAAATTTGGAAAAGTATTCAAAGTGGTTTGACCAAGTGTGGGCGTGTTGACTTGGTCGACTTGCTTTGGATTGAATGGGCAATCATTGGAGTATGATTGGACCATGAATTAGAGCTTAAATTCAAATTTGATATGGGTTGATTAGGTTAAATTGATCTTGGTTTGGCCATGGCTTGAGGTTTGACCTTAATTGGAATTTGACCAAGTGCTCCATAGTCAAGCCATCCCATAGATATGACAATCAACACTCTATCATTGTGGATAATAACCCTTAGAATCATAGAAAGCCCCATGATAAACATGCCTGGTAGTGTATAATCCTTACTCTGTGTCCTCAGAGTGCATTCCCCTTATGTGAGTCTAATCCCATTTTGGATGACTAGATTGGTTAACCAATGCCTCCGAAGGAGAGAGAATCATATATTGATACTTCTAACTAGACTTAGCCATATGTTGTGACACTAAGCCAACTTTGGTATGAACCAGTCGAACCCAATTTCCTTTACGTCTTTGAACCTATGAAGAAGTATCGGTCATGTTGGTCCCTTCAAGCATTTTCTATCTTAGAGAAACTTTGGGCCTCACTTTGAATGGAGGCTGTCTTTAACGTACTTCTATATTGGTTTACTCAATATATCTTTGATATGAGACAATCCATTTCTACTAATCTAAAGATATCTTTGATATGAGACAATCCATTTTTACTAATCTAGACAATGTGACCTTCCAACTCTCTATTGGTTCTCCACTAAGTTGACTAAGAACGAGGGTACCATAGGTTCTTGATTAAGTTGATCATTCATCCCCATTCTTTCTCCGCATACATAAATTTAATTTTCAACCATCAATCCATAGCATAGTAATATCCTTAACTGAGTGTGTTCTTTGACATGGGGCACGATTTGTAATTAATTAATCATGGGCTTTTATGCCCGTGGAAAATCTCAATCCCCTAGAATTAAAATAAACTTCTATTAGCCTCACAACTGGCTAGGGGAAATCTCTGGGGTCCTATTAGAATTTTCCTTTGAAACCCCATGATGTTCAACATTCCTTTGCTTTGCAGGAATTCTAAAAGAGCGAGAAGGAAATAGATATTGCACCACAAACTCACGAGTGCCTTTCAAAACTCATAAGATTGCATCATGATGATCTAAATTGGTTTTTTATCCAGCAGAATTTAATCAATTAAATAGTTTTTTTTTGTTTTCTTTAAATGGAAATATCTAATGCATTGCTCTAACCAACTATGGGTTATGGTACGCCATCTCTTCTCATTATCAATGATTTGCAATTTTTTTATTTCTTCAAAATGAAGAGGCTTGCCTCGTAGCTATTGAAGCTCAAGATGTAGGCCTGCTTGACTTGGTGATGTGCATTTGCATTAATTTCCAAATGACAGGGAAATATATCTTCAGTGTCTCTTACTATCTACATTTACTGCTTAAATCCAAAAATAAATGATTTTTCCAAAGGAAGTTTGGTGCATATTGACCATGACTTGCCAAGGAATTTTTGGTTGTAATGAAAGGAAAAGAAGGGAACAAAAGAGGAAGAGAAACTGTCATAACTAGGTTTGGCTCACATAACCATTATGATGACCAAAATACATTTAAGATTTTAGAGTTATAACTGTGATTTAAAGCGAGAGCACTATTTAGGAAGACTTTTATTGCGGTCTACTTTTGATGATTTGAAAAGGTACATCTCTAACTACATTCCCTTGATTCACATGAATTAAAAAGTTTCAATTATGTATGTCTTTTTGCCGTCATTGGTGTAATTCAATAATGAATGCAGAATTGCAATGCCTTGCTATTACTGAACGGGCAAAACCATTAATGTTTATTTGTATAAGAGTCAGTTTTAGTAGCTGATGCATGCAAGCATATATGAAGGTTGAACAATTAGTTACCGTTTGTTTATGCATGTAGGATGATTTGACAACTACTCTAGTACGGCAGTGCCGTGAATGCCAATATACTGTTCAAAGAATTATTGAAACTGCTGGCGAAAATGAAGCTGTGATCTTCGAAGCCCTGAACTTAAACGATGAACTCCAAAAGATCCTATCCAAGTATGATGACCTGAAGAAGCCTCAGATTGTCCATTCCGAGCCACAACCAGCCTTAATTCCCGTTGCTGTTGAGCATGAAGACTCACCCAGACTCAGCAAGGAGGAAGCTCTTGTAAGGAAGCCTGCAAGATCTAGAACAAAGGGAAGTCACGTGGATGATGACATGATGGATGATTTGGATGAAATGATCTTTGGGAAGAAGGGGGAGAGCACTTCGGACGAGCATGATCAAAGAAAACAGCAGCAGAAGCATGATCTTATTACATTCTGAGCTTCTTAAGCCAATATTGAGTATATCATTCCAGACTTTCAAGCTCTGAAGAAAACCATAAAGTATTTTTTTTTTATCTTTTGAATTCTCTTTCAACATTTCTCCGTGCTGCATTGTTTGGAATGTGAGAATTCTTTATTGTGTATTTATGATGTTTTAGAATTTCTTTGGCTCATTGATAAACGTTTTTTAGTTGTGAACCACAGAACTGAATGGTGAAGAAACGACATATTATATAGAAAGAACTTCATATAATGATTCCTGTTCGCAAATTTGGTAACGAGCAATTGAATTTGATGCTAAATCCAAGTCTTTTGCTTCCCTCAAGACTTTTTTTTTTCTCTCTTCGGCAAGCCAGAGTTGTTCTTAAATTCTGAAGGATAATAGTTTAGGGTTTGCAAACCCATAATTTTCTGGATCACATTAATCAATTAATAACGCATACCTGAATTGGGTTGAAGATGTAAGCCTGTTATGTAGATTAACATGTGTTATTATGAAGTGGGCTCAAGTAAAGTGCCAAGTAATTGAATCAACCTAGCACAAAGTTTTATTTTTGTGTGTGGGATGCACAAGGAGTCATAAAGATCTAAATTTTTAATACATCATATATGTTAAGTATTGGGAGCCATAAGGGTGTTTTGTTATATGCTAACAAAGAGTGATATAAGAATCTAAATTTTGATATTTTTTTTTTATGGGAGGTATAAGGGCATGAACAAAATATATTATTTTTTATTCTAATATATTGAGTATTTATTTATTTACTTTTAATATATTCTTATTTAGATTTCTGATAATTGCAAGTATTATTTTGTTCAGTATAGTGATTTGTTATTAATTCTTTTTAAACTCAGTTAAATGCATAATAAGTAAAATATTTAAAATTTTAAATCAGTGCGTGTGATACACTGCGCTGTGTCAGCTCACACCTATTATACATCTGTTTTAGGTTAGGGAAACACAAAAGAGTTGGTTGAGTTGTTGTAATTAGGGCTGCAAGCGAACCAAACGTTCGACGAGCTACTCGCTGTTCAGTTCGATTAAAGCTCGTTTGAGATCGTTTAATTAAGTAAACAAACAAACTTGAACAATATTTTAAATACTCGATTGTAATCTTAGCTTCTGATCTATCTGAGTCTATATATGTTTTCTTTTAATTTTAGTATAGTCATAATTTTATTTATTTATTTGTTTTGTTCTGATTTGTAGCAATGCATAGTAATGCATAGTGGTTGTAGATGTAATAATCCAAAAGTTTAAAAATAAATTTATTTGAAAAATTATGAAAAATATATATGGAGTGCTACAGTGTTAGTTCGAAAATCACAACAGTGCTGGCTATAAAGGAGCAGTGGCGCTAGAAAATGCCACTGAAGAGATGATGCTCTATATTATATAATAACTCTGGAGGCGGCATGTGGTGTAGCAGTGTTGGGCCACTTGTGTGTCGTGTGTTAGGCACTAAAATGAGTTTATATATATAATTTAAATTCTTGCCACCACATCACTCCCTCCCTCACTCTTATGTGCATGGCCGTGAAGGAAAGGAAAGGGGAGGGGAAGTGAAGGGAGACAGGAGAGGAGAGAAAATATATGAAGCTCTCCAGGGGTTTTTCGACTAACGATCCTGTTACAAATTTTATTCTATTTGAAGTAAGTGATTATACACTTATGTTTTCGATGGTTTTGATTTCTACAGTTTTAATCTTTCCAAAATTGATAAAAATATATTTTCTTTTGAATTATTGAGCTTTCATCATGTGACTTTTTATATATGATAGATATTATCTTCACGAGCATTTTGACTGTAATATTATTGATTTTCACTAGGTAAATTGAAAGCTATAATTTTATGAAGTAAATGCATATTATACAAATTTTTTTGTAGATTTTCTTGCATTTTATGGATTATTACATTACATACGTGATATACTATATTATATAGAAAAATGACATGACAAATATGAGAGAAAAGTGATATTTACATGTAAGTGAGGAAGGTTAGTTATTAATACTATAATTAATAAGGGTTGACTCTTAAAATATAATACCCTATGTAGGAGGGTGAGCCAATGAACTTTCCTTAAAATAAAAGATTGGTGGTGTGATCTTGGTTGTAGCTTGTAACCGATTAATTAATTACGTTGAAGGGTAGAGAGTGATGACTACTCATTGATTATTAAAAGACACATATGAAGCGACTTAAGATAATAAACAATAATGATAAGATAAAGATTGATGACTAATTGGTTAACAATTTGTACTAAATTAAAGACTGGTGACCAACCAGGTGATGATTGAGGTGGAAAGATGAAAACACCTCATTAACTCTAAATGTCATGCCTTGCTCTTCATAATTGCATTCATGATTGCATTTATCTGATTATTCATTGAATTAATTAATAGATAGAATTGAAGTCAAACTGATAGAACCTGTATTGATATTGATACAACATAATATGACATACTAACATTACTCATTGATTGATAGTTTTTTTTCTTATGAATTGATAGATCTCTTTTGGATTTATTGAAAATATTGATTTTATTATTGATTGATACAATTTTTATAAATTATTTTTTGCTTATACTAATAGACTATTGATTGTTGATTGATATAGATCAGAACTTGAACAGATATATTGATTCTTGCCATGTATTGAAATCACTGGTGAGTTTTGGTTACTTGCTAAGCTTTTATGCTCATTATATAATTTTTATACAATTTCAATTAAAATAAAGAGCATGCAACAAGAGGCTAGAAAGGGATGCTTAGTTAATTATGCTTTCATCCCATTAGTTTTATATTTATTCTTTTGTAGCACGTAGTAACTATTTTATATATTCTTATGAATTTTGGACTTTGAAGCAAAATGTGAATATTAATTATAGTAATATAATTTTGTGTTATGTTGTTTATATTCATTTGTATTTTCTTAGATATAATTAGTTAGCTTTGGTTGTGAATGATTTGGGTGTGAATGAATATTGAATATTAATTGAATTATAAGAAGAATAATAAATGAATAAAGGAAAAATAAATGAAATTCTTTCACTTTGGATCTCGGGGCACGAAAAAAAATGATATCGGAGTACTGGTTAGTGAAAGAAATAGATTCTAATAAGAGCTATATTATTGATTTTATTATTTATTTATTTAAATAATTCTGTTGTAAATTGGAAGCAAACTGCTAGAACTCGTGAAAGTAGCTTCTAAAGTGTTTGAGAATATGACTGGTATGATTTTGTTTTAAATTTTTTATAAGTTGAGTTTTTTGATGATTTCAGAATTGATTTTGTGATAATTTATGTTTTTGATAAATGTGGCATTTGCATGTAAGTTAAGAAGACTGTCTATTAATACTATAATTAATACGAGTTGGCTCTTAAAATATAATACATTATATATGAGGGTGGGCCAATGAGAGTTTCTTAAAATAAAAGGTTAGTGGTATAACCGATTGAATAATTATGTCGACGAATAGAGAGTGATGACTCTTCATTGATTATTGAAAGTCACCTATGAATTGACTTAAGATATTGAACAATGATTATCACACACACGCATGCGCACGCGCACGCGCTTTGATGATAATGGTTGGTGGTACCCAATGGGGATTTGTTTCTTGATTATGGGTAAAAGACTTTAAAAGCTTCCAAGAATGTTATTAAAGTATGGAACCTCTAGAATAAGATTTAGAGATTTGTATCTATGATAAATAACAAGATAAGGGTCGACAAAGTGAAGATAAATCCCAAAACCAAAAAACCTATATCTCACTTTAAGTATTTAGTGTGGTTGTTGTACATGATTCCAAGGTACGAAACCATTTAAAAACAATAGGAGAATGTGTATATTTTCTACAAAGTTTTATGTTTGGTGTCCTTTTAATATTTTTGCTAGTTTTTTTTTTTTTTAAAAAAAAAAAAACAAGGTTAAACAAGGACACAATCTAACCAGCGTCCCAAAGTGAGACATTTGGCTTTGTGAAAGGGGTTTATAGATTGGAAAAATTACAAAAAAATATTGTAGTTGGTGGAGGGATATGTATAAAATAGATTTAGAGTAAGGGTTGTTTAGTTGCCTGAAAAGAAAATATAGTGTAAAGTAAATGCAATGTAAAATAAATGTAGTGTATTCCGAATACTTTGAACTGTTTGGTTGTCTGCAAAATAAACGCAGGAGAATTGTTTCCCTTGTTTGGTTAGGTAGATCCAGAGCAAAGTAAAAGTATTTTTTTGTCATAATTAATTTTGGCATTACAACTAGTGCATTTATAAAAGCAGTGTATTTATAATAATTAATATTATTTGGTGTTATAGAATAAAATGCAGTGTATATATTTATTGCACTATCTTATTATACATTTTTTTAGATTATAAAATAAAATCAATTGCCATAGTGGTATATGAAGAGCTGATTTGGTTGGATCTCAACTGTCAATCTGGATCAGATTTAAAGACAAAAAAATATATATATCAATTAAAGATATACAACGGCTTTAAGAAACTTCTAGATATACAACAATATTTGCGTAAAAAATAAGAGGAAGAACGGGAAAAAATGAATGCAATACAATTACAGGAAGATAAAAAATGTGTAATTTCCTTATGTAATCTCGATTAAGCATAGATGAAAACCAGAATGTCAAAGAAAATCTGAAACCAAAAACACCTTCAATTTCTTAAAAAGGAATTAAACAAAAAACTACATCATCTACAGATAACGGTACATCTCCACAATTCTCACCCCAAACGACAATGCATCAGGGATTACGGTACATGTATGAGATACTAAAAAAACCAAAGAACTAAAGAGGATAACAAATAAGTAGGAATTCAGAAGCAATTCTGTAGAAAACAACCAACAAAGCCGAAGGGAGAATAAACGCCTCTAACTCAGTTTCCAGTAGCAGAGAATAAAAGACACCAAAATATACACATCGACGCCGCATGAACAGATGCAGGACATACAAAATACATGGGAAAAGATAAATTTCTCCTACATTAAACAAGAACAAAAATAGCAGAGACACAGGAATATATATCAAAATCGCTAATCAAATAATTAGTAAAGGAATACGCGCAGTCGCACTTGGAATCGTTGGCAGTTGGTTCGAGATCCCGAAAGCTATGAAGGTGATAAGGCTAGGGTTCTTATTAGGCTGACGCTGTGGCTGTGACGAGAATGAAAAAGAAGCCAGCAAAGCAAAAGCAAATGGCAAGCGACTCGTTGGAAGCTTTACCCCATGCGAACCAGCAAGAGGTT